AGTTAGCACTCCGAAATGCAGAGGTTGCGGCATGGAGCATATGATTGGTTCAAAGTTTGTGGGCATTTTTGTTTCTAAACATGGATACTTTCGAAGAGAAACTCACCGAGGCGGTCCGGAGGTACAATCATCTAGGCTACATACTGCGTCGGTGCGTGCTGAAGGTGAGGGGAGATCCGGTGGGGGGAAAAAAATGATCCGGTGGGCAAGTTCGTCAAAACGAGCAGCGGACATTTGATAATAGGAGAAGTGTTTTTCGTCATCCATCTCCCGCATCTGTTGAACCAACAAGCTAAACTCGCAACTAGCAACTAGCAGTTATTTACATGCTAAGCTATGCAAGTGACGAATGCGGTGGGAAGGCAGGGAGGGATTACTGTAATGTATCCCCCACGTCTTTCCCCAGTATACACACTCAATGCTGTCGATGACACAAACGCAATTATGTCATCGCTGGGCCGCAGCCACATGTCTTGCATGAAGTATAAACAAAGCTTAACTCAAGCTTGAGACAACTTCATTGCAGCCTGACGTTTGACCATCTTATGAACTTGAGCAGCATATGTGGCTTTTCGCTCTGGCTCCCTGGCCAGCTGCCTTGCCATCCTCGAGAATGTGGGTTCAACTGCCCTCCTAATGCAGCTGGATGTTCTACCCAGGGATACTTGGTATACAAATGAGGCTTTTCACTGTGGTCATCAGCATTTATATATATTAGGCTACTCTTTACCACTTCCAGCTCCCTTTCTTCAGTGGGCCCAATTTCTTTGACTCCTGGATGGCAGTTTCCAACGTGGCAACCTCCACATCAAGGGACACATCTGTCCCATTACCACCACTCAAGAAAGCTGAATGTAGTATAGCTGCACAACTAGATTTCTGAACTTGAACAGGAAATGAGGCTTGCTGGTTTTGTGAAAAGGGACTACACTATGTGTTCTTCATACTTCACAGCAGCATTTCTCATAGACCTTGCTGGTGTTCTTGACGTGTGAGCTGAGTGACCTTCTCAAACAGCTCACAATGGGTCCCACTCACTGTCTTTCCCATTGGTCCATCTCACAGCACAAGATCCCCAACAGTGCAATTTTTGTGGAGCTAACTGACTCTCCTTGTGGTTTACATGGAGGTGGAGCTCTTTTGGCCTTCCTATGTCACTAAGAGGGATGCCTGGGAAAAACTTTTGGAGCTTTTTTGCAGATATGTCTGTGGATGGTTGCAATGCTGTCTTGGCCATTGCAAACCAGCTCATGAGACTAGAAAGTGCCTCTTGAGTTGTGGAGTTTCAGGAGGTACTGCTTTGTTTCAGCAAAGACTTTCATTTCTCCTATGGCATGGACCACAAGTGTGATGTCTTCTTAGATTGAGTCGACCTGCTGCTTCGTGAGTGATTTAATTAGTGTCAGAAGCTAGCTCAATCAGGGTCCCATTTTTTTGTCCATCATTAGTTATGACCTCCAGCATCATTTTTACAACAAGCCACTCCATTAGTCCACTCTCTGTTAGAAGACTTGCGTGATCTTGCAACATGAAAGGTCCTTGATACTATGTTACAGAATACATCTTGGCATTGTTGTGCTAATTCAGATGAGAGCTTTCTAAATAACTTTTCCCGGGATTTGGTGTAATTCGTCCTGTTGTCACCTCCCATTGTGCCACGTTTGCTCCTTGTTTGGGCTGTGCTGCCTCTAGATGCTTCAGCATTTGGACCCAGATAGCAGATAGTAATGGTGGTCTTCGTCTCTCTAATTCTCGCATTCAGAATATTTGTACAGGAATGAAGTTTTGCAGGGATCCTCATCATCATGAACCTCCAGACATTTCCAGCAGGCTCCCAGTTTTCATACTACATCCTTCTTCTCTGTGAAATTGACCATTCTGAATTTCCTACAGAAGTACAGCTTTTTTCTGTGCTTAATGTCCTCACAGACACACATCCTGAAGGATGGCTGCTTGACTGGTTTGAGGTTCTAGTCCAGGGGTGGGCAATCCTGGTCCTTGCGGACCGCAGCCCTGCAGGTTTTACTTTATTCCCTGCTTCAACACAGCTGATTCAGTCATTGAATTACCTCTTTCAATTTCTGCAGAAGCCTGTCAATCACCCATTCATTCAAATCAGGTGTGTTGGAGCAGAGAAACATGCAGGGCTGCAGCCCTCGATGCCCACCCCATTCTCATCCTTGATTCCCTTTGCTCAAGTCGAATTTCTTTTCTTGGTGAATCGTTATCTCTTAATTGTTCCAGTTGTTCGTAGACGCTCTCCTGACTCCTGTCATCATTACCTTGTTTGTCCACCGTGCGAAATTACTGTTTATAAGGCTGAGCTAACCTGTAACTCCTCAGACTGAAGAAGTCTCTTGGAGGAGAGACATAACATTTAAAGAAGAACCAGTCCAGAGGACATACTTGATCAATTTTTTGAAAAATCTAAAAAGATGTTTTGATTCCAAAGTCAGTACAACATGGTGTCCATTTCATCTTGAATTAAAATCTGTCCACTAGTTGTGGACAATTTGCCAACAAAAAGACAGCCATGACTCCAGCAGTTCATGGTAAACTTAGTCTGTTGAGGATCAGTCTCAGTTGCTAACACACCAAAATGGATGTCAATGTCAGTAACTGTGACTGAATTGAAGCCTTTTTTGTTATTGTTTTGGGTATAATGAGTCAGAAACATGGTTCAAACTCAAAGTTTTGCTGTTCAGGAACAGCATGAAGGAGAAAAGTGGGGGCAGAGGGAAGCAACACAAACAATCCTTAATGGAACTGATACAAGAGGCTTTTTAATTATCTGACTCAATCAGCTAAAGACCAGCGGATCAATGAGTCCCGTTCCACTCCCCAACTGTGTACCCAGACAGCAGCAGCTACATCAGCTGCAGCTCAGTGACAGATTACAGCTGCTGCCTAATCTAATGCAGCCACATCATGTCTACTGAGAATATCTTTAATTCTGACTGCAGGTTCTGTCATCCTGACCGCTTCCCCACACTGAAATGTTTAATGTCCCAAACAGTTGATCTGACCTTCAAGTTTGAGGTTTTGAGTGAAAACACGAGGGAAGGTGACAAAACAGTCACAAAATAGGTGAGCCCGTTCTGGCAGCCCAACTCTGGAATAATAATTTTGTGGAATTTAAAAACCCCTCATAGCTTTCTTGATTTGTTTGTTTGTTTGTTTGTTTGTTTGTTTGTTTGTTTGTTTGTTTGTTTGTTTTGAACATCAAATTTTTATGTTTCAGCTGAGCTCGAAATTGGCTGAAACATCAACATGCAACCCCACTTCCTCCTTTTTTCAGCTTTCACCAATCTTTTTACATGAATGTTCAGCTTTCATGTGTGTATGTATTTAATTACACCTGAAAAACAGCTAATGCATGTAGGGTTGTCTTCAAAAGAGAAAACATTTGGAAAATCAAAACAATGAGTTTTGATTCATCATTATGTGAGTGAAAGAAGTGGCTAGATTTGTTGAGTCTCTGCTTAGCCTGGGACAATCTGGGCTGAGTTGTTTGGGATTTTTCAGATACGGCTCAAGGACTTATGCTGAGGCTTGACTGCTGTGCTTTACAGTATGGACCTGATTGGAGTCAGGTGAGAATAAAGATTTTTAGAAGAAATCTATTCGGACTCCCATTTTTGAATGCTTTTCTACAGTATCAAACATTAAAAAAGCAATTTGTTGAATAAAATAAAAAACAAATAAATTTTCCCACAATTAATTTGATTTGATTTAGAATTTCTGTTGTTTCAAAGTAATGATGGGTTAGATAATCGTAATAATTTATATTATTATTTTACTCTAGTTTGTTCTGTACATGTCTTCGTTGGGTCAACTAATTTAAAATAACTTGTTGACTGAACTAATAAACAAACGAGAAAAAATGTGCCCCACTTTTATTTTTAGGGTTTTATGTAAAATGTTGCACAAAATGTATAGTTTTGTCCCAATTTCTGGGTCCCTCCCCAGTGTAAGCAGACCCTATAGAAATAATTTATATCAGTAATAAATTATCCACCATTTACGCTTCTCAAAATAATAGTTATGACACAAAAAGTTTCAGTGTCATTGTTGTCACAGTATTTCTAGTTCGTTTAGTCCTTCTACAGAAAATGTACAGACACTGTTCAGTTCGAAGGATTTTCAGTCATGGGGCAAAAATCTTTCTAAAGGGATCTCAGACTACTTGAACATAATGGCCTTATTGTTATTTCTCTATTCTACTAAAAGTTTTTGTTTGTGACTTGTAAAAACATCTATACTTTAAAAATTATCCATGTTTATTACAGTTTTCACTGAAGCACGTTTCCATTTTGTTACGGACACAATGCATTGTCAGGATGATGGGTTACAGTTGAGACTAAAATAGTCAAGGTTAAAAATCTATAATGTGTGAGAAAAAATTCCTACTTTGTATTAATTTCTATGTTCTGCACAATATATGGGTTAAAACAATCAAACCTGACGGTGATATTCAGTAAAGAAAACTCTGGAACTCCCTAGCTAAATAGACTGTACTTGTATAGCGCCTTTCTATCCAACCAGGAGACTCAAAGTGCTTCACACTACAACCTGTGCCCTCATTTTCACACAGCACTCCACTAGGTCTCTACAAAGCTAACATACACAAATCATCCTATGGAAACTAGTACTAATCACATTCATAGGGTACACATCAGAGACATTGGAAGTTTAAGTGTCTTACCCAAGGATACAACAATTGAGACAGCTGAAATGGGGGATTGAACCGGCAACCTACCGGTTCCAGGACGACTCTGCCACAGCCACCCAAAGCTAATGATATTAACTCAGGAACTATATAAAAATTAGTGCGGGAGCTAAAGCGAAAGCTAAAACACTAACGCTGAGGTTCTCCTTCTATGAAGCAGCTCATTTTCAGTTTCAGGTTGAGTCATTTTTACCAGTTTTTACCATTATTTCAAACCTAAGGACAATTTAGAGTTGCCAATAAGCCTAACATTCATGCTTTTGGTCTGTAGGAGGAAACCGGAGTATCTGGAGAAAATCCATTCATGGATAGTGAGAACAGAGGTCCCTGGCTGGGATTTGATCCAGTAACCTTCTAACTGAGAGGCAACAACTACAACAAGTTAGACATTGTATGTAATCCTTTATTTAAATAGTGAAGCTTTATTATGTTTTCGTCATGGTCTGTGTTTTTTATGCCTTGGTTTTTCTAAGTGTTTCAGTGCTCCCGTGTTCTCTGGATGGCTGCCCCGCCCACCCTCACCTGTTTCCCCTTGTGTCTCCTCCAGGTGCTTCTCGTTTGTCCTCATTAGTTTGCCTTTATATTCTGTGTCCTGTGTTCAGTCTGCATCCGATCATTGTGCTGTGTTGTCCAGCCTGGTTGGTTTTTCATGTTCTTCGAGTTTTGCCATGTCAAGTCCTGTGAGTTTTTTGAGCTGCTTTGTCAGAGTTTTTAGTTAAATTATTTTGAAAACCTGAACTCTGCCTGTGCCCTGGGTCGATCCTGCACCTAAACCTGACAGTTTTACAGTAGAATCTCCTACTCCACTATACTTGTGCTGCTAGGATTGTTCATTTGTTTTCATTTCTCTTGTGATTTTTTTTATTACTGAGAAGGTTAATCAGGTGAGTGTTGCTTGTGCATCTAAGGTTACATTAAAATATTTTAAAACTTGATAAATATTAAATCGTTTTTATCATGTGTTGATAAATAAATCAGAAATAACTAGAAATGTGTGCACTTCATTTTTTTCAATGCCAGGTTTATTTGCATCAGTTTTTGTGTCTCAGTAAAATACTTGTTTATATGAAAATATTTTGTTTTACAAACACCTTTAACTCATTGTTAGGGTTTCAGTATTTTACCAAGCCAACAATCATCTGCAGCTGCAGCTCCTGAGTGGCAGGGAAGAGGGATTATAAGGTCAAAGGCTACCAGACCATGATGTTGGAACACTATCAATTGGTATTCAGTGAGCAACCTGTAGTAAGAATTTAAGAATATTACCTAGCTTCTTTATTCCTGTGATCTTTGCAGCCCTGAACTCTAGTGCCACTCTCCCATTGTCTCTCTTGTGTGACATCAAGCCTTGAGCCTCCTGCTCCAGGAGTCATTGCTTGCACACTGGTAAAACACACAAGAAATAACGTCCTACCTCTGCGTGCTACTCTGACCTGTAAAATAACTTCTCAGATTTGGTTTTAAAGGTGAGCTGCAAAAACCTGAAAATGAACACACAAGAAAACTAAAACCATGATAAAAGCTATTTTTGCTTTAACGAAGGAACCAAAAACAACAAATAAATACCATCATTAAAGGGATCCACGATTAGTTGTAACATTAAACTTAATTTGATTACATGGATATATTACAGGAATGGAGCCATCACGCAAAGCATACAGGGTAAATGATGATGTCGACTAGGTCATCGGTGCGAGGCTGCGAGTCAGTTTTATCCACCCTGAAGGTTAATTTTGAACAATATCTGATGATTGGCTCTTTTAAATGAAACCAGAGAGCGTTGACAGAGAGGAGAAGGTAGAAATGACTCCGCCTGGAACTGAAAATATGGATGGAGGACAACAGAGCTGCTTCATGGAAGAAGAACCTCAGCTTAGCCTGTTAGCCTTCGCGGTAGCGCCGACACTTCACCATATATGTATTAGCTCAGAGCTACACATTCTCCTCTCTTGTCAGTGAGGTCCTCCATCCACATGACAGAGAGGGGAACACAAAAATGACTCAGCTGCAACTCAAAATATGGATGGAGGACCTCAGTTTAGCTTGTTAGTTTGTTGCACTAGTGCCGAGCTAATACAATGCTAACATAATAAGCTGGGATTTTCCTTCCATGAAGCAGCTCTGTTGTTCTCCATCCATATTTTCAGTTCCAGGCTGAGTCATTTCTACCTTCTCCTCTGTCAACGCTCTCTGGTTTCATTTAAAAGAGTCGATCATCAGATATTGTCCAAGATTAACTTTCAGGTTGGATAAAGCTTGCTCACTGCATTGCAGATGACCTCACAGACATCATCAAATGTCTTCATTTACCCAGAATGCTTTGTGTGTAAATAAAATGGCTCCGTCTGTGTTAAAATATACTTTAAAAAATTTACAAAACTAAACAGCCTACAGTGTTTTTACCGTCTTTTTGTTTATCAAATAAAGTAAATGTTACAACTAATTGTGCATCCCTTTAAAGATCTGTGCAATGACTCCTAACAAAAGAAAGAAAGTGGTGGTTGTGTCTGATTTGTATCTGTTGCTGATCTGCTAGTTGATGGTTGTTGGTCAGGGATGGTGGGGGACTGCTGTGGATGTCTTGATACTGCTGGTGGATGGCTGATTATCTGAAACTTCCTTCTGGTCTTCAGCTCTTCCTGGCACATTGCTCAGTACTGACCTGCATTAATACTCCTTTTGCACATTACAAAGCACGCATGAAACAAAGGTTTTGATTGGATGGCGAAATACCACCACAGTTATCGTTTCTGCAAAAACTAGAGGTGAAGGGGGAATGTAATTTGAACGAGCGAGGTAATGGTGCGAGTTGTAATGTTATGTGGTTCTGGATAATTGTGGACAACCAATGGACAAAATCCCTTAAAACTGTGCTGATGATCCGAGAGGATGTCGTTGTGAAGCAACTGTCGGGGGGGTTGTGTCACAGAAGACGATCGCCGAAACAAGGACGTTGAAGTTGGTGAGAGCTATCACATTTTGGAAAGATGGCCACGTTCAGATTGTTGGCGTTTGTGGCACTGCTGATAACATTTGCGCTGTTGTCATACATGATAAAGTCAAAGCAAGCAGCAGCAGAACTGTGGAGGGTTCATTGTGCTGATTGAAAGTGTGAAATCCTTCAGGTCTTTTGTGAATGCCCAGCAGGGTAAGTTGGTTCTTCTTGTCTTGTTTTCATCAAACTTTTGACTCAAGAGTCAGAATCAAACATTTGAGTCAATGCCATAGGACTTCTCACACCAAAACTTGCTGAACTTTAGACTGATTTGGTGTTTATCATTTATTTATGATTACACACTTTACTGTTTTTCATTGCAGTGAAGTCGTGGCGGCAAAGTGCATTGAGCCACAGCTTTCTTTTTGTAGCAGCTTTGCTTGACTTTCCTAGAAGAATTTGGTAAAAGGAGCAAGCTTATCCTTTATCTTTTACACAGTCGCATTGTCTTGAACAATTATACACAATACAAGTCACTTTTCCCCATTGCTATCATTGGAAGGAATGTAAACACTCAACTTTCACGGCAAATGATCCCCCTTACTTCTGTGAATGCACATAAACTGCGTAAGCCCATGTGTTGTCTGAAATGTGCGTAAGGTCAGTTCAGAACACAAGAGAAAATGCTCAGAAATTTTATACGGAAATACAGATTTAATCTACAGTACAACAAATATTGTATACATTAATTGTAGATTTATATAGGCCTGTGTAATGTGCAAAATTCCAAACTCAAATTTACATTTACAAACCAGGAATGATGAGGCACAAAATAAAAATTCTGTACATCATTTGACTCACTAATGAAAGAAACTGATGTAATGATTGAGCTTCATGGTTCACATCATAATATAAAATAATACTGCCAATATATCTTCTACTGACAAAATGTGTGTTATTCAGTTTTCCAGACAAAAAGAAGAAAAATTGTTCCAGCTGTTGGTAAATGCTTGTTGGTATCAGATACAGTACATATCCTTCATTAACTGAGGAATAATTCTTTGTGATAAAAATAAAATATTTGACCAATTTTTTGTGACCTGAAATAATTTGTACTTGTGTTAAAATGACGGTACAGTTTTCAGTAAAACTTTTAAGTTGTTTGCAATATTTTTGAAGGTATTGACATTAAAATCACCAAACAGCATAAACACATTTTCTATTGTATAGTTCTGTATTTTATTGTTATAAATGTAAATTTATTTACATACAAATTCAAATTAATAAACTAAGCTTAATTTTATTTATTCATTTTAAATATATTGGGCTCAGGTCTGATTGATTGAATATCGAGCTGCACAGAATGCAAACACTTGTATATAAAAACATAACTGAAGCAGAAATAGCTAATTATGTCACTGTTAGTCATTTTAATCAGTTATTTATACTCAAGTTCCACAAACCAAAACGTTTAAAATTTCCTCAGCTTCATTTTGAACCATAAATCAAGCAAGATTTAAGAACTCTGAATGAGTTTTTACAGGACGTCTCACAAGTAGCCTAACCAGCAATCTGGTAGGAACCTGATAGAAGCTAACCCGGAGCTAACACTGTTTGCAAACGGTGATGTTACACGCACAGGGTAAATGTTACAAATTTCATGGTATTTATCAATTCCTATTAAAATATCATCCTACCTGCAAACGACACACAAGCATCATCTCACTGGCTCTTCCTTTCCTCAGTCCGTTAGATTGATCTTTTTCTCCCTTTTAAGAGGTGGACTGCCTGATAGGAGCCTGAGCTGTGGGTGGGCTTGGGGCCTGGGGGAGGGTGCTGGGGATGGGACTGGCGCTCCAGCTTCCCTGGGGTTGTTTGGATTCCCGGAGTATGGCTCCTGATTGCTGTGGTTGGCCCGCTGGCCGGGGTGGCTGTCGGAGTCTGGTGGATGGTCGGTTGGGGGTGCACGCTTGGCTGCTGGCAGTGTGTGGGGGTGGTTGGGAACATGGGTTCACTGTAGCGTGGGGGCTGACCAGTCAGCCTGGTGTGGTCTGGGCCGGGCCTTGGCTGTCTGCTCTTTTCCACCCCAGAATGAATGGGTCTACCTCCTGGGTTTGGATGTGGGCTGCCCTCTGTCAGGGGCGGGTGCATGTCCTGGACCTGGGGGGTATAGAGTATGTATGGGGAGCATGATTGGAGTATTGTGTCCATCTTGTGTGTCTTTGAATGAGTGGGTGTGAGGATGAGGGTGGGAGTATGTGATTGAGTCTGTGTATGACTGGATATGTGTCAGGCTGGTTCTTGGGTTGCCCCCTCCTCTGGTTCACTTGGGGGCCCACTGTTGGTGGTGGGCTTAGTCCCCCTGCCACTCTACCCCCTGGTGGGGTGTGCCTCTGCCCACTAGTGCGCTGGTGGCCCTCGGTGTCTGGGGCTGGGCA